ATATATATATATATATATACAGTCGTGGTCATAATTGTTGGCACCCTTGGTAAATATGATCAAAGAAGGCTGTGAAAATAAATCTGCATTGTTAATCATTTTGATCTTTTATTTTAAAAATTCACATAAATCTAACCTTTCATTGGAGAATAAGAATTTAACATGGGGGAAATATCATTGACAAATGTTTTTCTCTAATACACATTGGACACAATTAACGGCACCCTTTTATTCAATGCTTTTTGAAACCTCCATTTGGCATAATAACAGCTCTGAGTTTTCTCCTATAATGCCTGATGAGGTTAGAGAGCACCTGACAAGAGATCAGAGACAATTCCTTCATCCAGAATCTCTCCAGGCCCTTCAGATTCCCAGCTTCTCCTCTTCAGTTCACCACACTCATTTTCTATAGGGTTCAGCTCAGGGAACTGGCATGGCCATAGCAGAAGCTTGGTTTTGTGCCCAGTGACCCATTTTTGTGTTGTTTTTAAGGTTTGTGTTTGGATTATTGTATGACTGGAAGATTCAAACATGGCCCATTATAAGATTTCAGGAGTCAGTCACTTTTTGATTTTTTATCTGTTGGTATTTAATAGAATCAAAGATGCCATGTATCTAAACAAGATGTCCAGGACCTCCAGCAGAAATATAGGCCCACAACATTAAAAATACAGCAGTATATTTCATTGTACACATGGGGTACTTTTTATCCCTGTGTGCACCAAACCCATCTTGAGTGTTTGTTGCTAAAAAGCAATTTTTTTAGTTACATCTGACCATAGAAGCCAGTCCCATTTGAAGTTCCAGTCGTGTCTGACAACAGAATATGCTGGGGATTGTTTTTGGATGAGAGCATTTTCTTTTCTTGATTTTTTTTCTTGAAACCCTCCCAAACAACATGTGGTGTAGGTGCTGTTTTTTTTTAAAGGTTTTCTGCCCCTGAGACTCCTTGGAGAGTCTTTAGCCACTCAAACTCTCCTCCTCACCGTGCATTAGGACGATATAGACACACGTCCTCTTCCAGGCAGATTTGTAACATTTTCTGTTGATTGGAAATTCTTAATTATTGCCCTGATGGTGGAAATGGGAATTTTCACTGCTCTAGCTCTTTTCTTAAAGCCACTTAAAGAAGGCTGTGAAAATAAATCTGCATTGTTAATCATTTTTGATCTTTTTTTTTTTTTTAATTCACATAAATCTTACCTTTCATTGGAGAATAAGAATTTAAAATGTGGGGAAATATCATTATGACATAAATGTTTTTCTCTAATACACATTGGACACAATTAACGGCACCCTTTTATTCAATGCTTTTTGAAACCTCCATTTGGCGTAATAATAGCTCTGAGTTTTCTCCTACAATGCCTGATGAGGTTAGAGAGCACCTGACAAGAGATCAGAGACAATTCCTTCATCCAGAATCTCTCCAGAACCCATATTTACCAAGTGTGCCAATAATTCTGACCACGACTGTATATATATATATATATATATATATGAGCATTTAGTTCAATGAAAGGTTAGATATTTGTGCATTTTTTTTAAATAAAAGATCAAAATGATTAACAATGCAGATTTATTTTCACAGCCTTCTTTGATCATATTTACCAAGGGTGCCAATAATTCTGACCACGACTGTACCTTTGATCCCCAAAAATGCTATCTGGTTGGGTTAATATGGTTTTGAAAATGGTGGGGAAAGGTGACGTGGTTGTTGTGGCGTAAGGTTTCAGAATAGTCAGATTTATGAGTCAGTTTCTAAGAAGTTGACAAAGTATGAGTAAGACAAATAGATGCTCTGTAGACCACCATTCTACAAATAAACTGCTTTGCTTTTAATTTCCTTTATGGCCCAGTGTATTAGCGAGTCATGGTTATCTTCTCAGAATAAGCTGAAGAGCATGTTGAGAGGGTCTTCTCTCGATCTCTTTCTGAGCTCTCAGGTTTTCTAAAAATAACCCCTTTAGTTCTGCTGTCTCACAGATGAAAGCATCTCAGCTTTTCCCAAGCTCAACTCTGGGGAAATGAGGGTAGTTGGGGTAGTTGCTAGGCAGACTAGTTAAAGGAGCTCTGTCACTCAGATACTTGCTTAATTCACTCTTACTGTGTGGAATGTTTTATCATGATTTCGTCTGTCTCTCTCAGGATGGAATGAGCTCCTCATTGCGTCATTTTCACACCGTTCAATATCAGTGAAAGATGGGATACTGTTGGCCACAGGATTGCATGTGCACCGGAACAGCGCCCACAGCGCCGGAGTAGGAGCCATATTTGACAGGTTGGAATGATACTTATAATATAAATTAGGGTTGCACGATAAATCGAAATGGAATCGAGATCCCGATTCGACAGAAGCTGCGATTGTTATGAGATGGAGCAGCATTATCTTCACAGAGCCGTAGTTCACTGAGAAGCTACGCAAACAGCTGTCATCGCGAACGATTTCTTCGATTTCAGAATTCAGAAGCGATTTTTTTGCGTAGCTTGTCAGTGAACTACGGCTATGTGTAGTAAATTCTGCTCCATCTGAAAGCACGTGATGATGATTTCTTGCTGATTACAGAACCGGCATTACTAACAAAATGCGCATGACAATCGCATTCGATTAATCGTGCAGCCCTAATATAAATATAAAATTTGTGGATCACCATTGTTTCAATTTACCTAACCTATCAAAACCAAAACCTATCAAAAAGGGTTAAGAATTAAAAAAAATAATAATACAAAATTGTACATTACTTTGTACATATTTTTCATTGTATATAATTACATATTTTTATATATTTTATTTTAAAATGTGTAAATTATATGCATATATATATATATATATATATAAACAAAAATGTTTTATTCATTTTAAAAATGTGTATGTTTATAAATGTATATATATTTTGTATTAAGAAATATATATATATATATAATACATGAAACTAAATGAAAAATTATATATTTTGCTTTTGGTAATATATTTTGCTTTGGCTATATGGAACATATTCAAACACGACGACTCAAAGAGATGATCACACTAGTCATTTTCATGACAAGGGCAGAAGAGGAACCTTGACATTTCTGCCAGCGGAACGCTGAGACAGAAGGGCAGGGAGGAGCGAGCTTTCTATCGATTTACATTGATATTCATTAAATATGCAGCCGCGCTGGCAACAGAGGTCATGCAGAAATGGTCGAGTGCTCAGAAAGAAAATGTTAAAGGAAATCCATTTGTGTGTCATTTATGAAATAAAAAATATGGAGGATACACCCAGTGACTCCAAGGGCTCTGCTCTGTATCTGTGCCCACAAAAACCTGAACAATGCTGTACAATAAAGCTACCAGCTAAAGCTAAAGCTTTTTTTTTTGTCCAGATCTCAGCCTAATTAAGGTTTGAAGAGAGCGTAGTGGTACAAAGTTTAGTTGTGAAATATACACCAACACAGCAGCAGCACCACTTGTTGAATGTAAAATGCATTGTTCAGCGACCCCACTAAAGAAAGTTTGGATAGAAATAAATCATATAAGAATAGCAATGATAAAAAATATATATATAATTGTAATTAACCATTAAATATATGTGTATATTTGTACACATTTTACCTTTTGTATAATACATTTTATTTAAAAAAAATATTTACTTTTTTTTCTATTTAGTATAAGATTTTAAGTAGGGCTGTGCAATTAATCGAAATCGTGTTGAAATCTGCTGTGCTGCACGCGCTGAATTAAAGTGGCAGCGCATTATTTGCGATAAAAAATAACATGGATTGGCACGGAAATTTAGTAATTAGACAATAAATGCATATAATTAAAGTCTACTGTTTCACAGTCAACACATGGCTTTTTGGCTAGATTTAAAACAAGGCAAAGTGCACTTTTAGATAAACAAGGCAATAATAGATGGCACTCGTGGTGGTAGTTAAACAAAGTTATATTTATTGAGTTTAAACGTGAATATGTCTATGAAAGATTGGATTACTGTATTGTGATAAACGAGAATCACAATGC